ATCATGTTTGTAGCAGCTTTATTCATAATAGCCAAAACTAGAAACTACCCAAGTTTCACTCAGCGGTAAATGGTTAAACAAACTGTGGTATATTCATGCGTGGAATACTACTCAGAGATAAAAAAGGAGCAAACAATTAATATGCACATTAACTTGAATGAAACTTAAGGAATGCTGAGTTGTTAAAAAAAAGAACAATCTCAATACATACTACATGATTCCATTCAGTTGTATTCATAAAATAATATAATTAGAAAGATGGAAAGCAGATTAGTAGTTGTCAGAGGTTAAGGATGGGGGAGAGAAAGGAGAATGTGGCTGTTAAAGGCTAGGGCAAGGTAATCGAGTTGAGTATCTTGATTATGATGGTAGTTTCATAAGGCTACACCTTACTAAAATTGCACTGACATGCACAAAAAAGAGTGTTTGTGTAACCTATGACATTTGAATAAGTTCTGTCATTTGTAGTCATCTCAATGTCTTGCTTTTGGTATTCTAATATAGTTGTGTAACATGTTCACTTTGAGAGAGGCTGGGTAAAGGAGGCATATGATTTCCATTTTTTGCAACTTGTGAACCTATATTTAGTTCCAAATAAAATGTTTTTTTAAATATAGAAAGCAAAGTACAAAAGTGTGCCATTACCAATATACAGTTTAATGACATTTCACATGTAAACATGTCCTTTTGTCAACCATCATACAAATTAAAAAATAGAGTAATTCTAGCACCCTATGAGGATTCCATGTTCCCCTTCCTAATCAATACCCAGTTGCTCAGACTTCTATCACTATTCTGACTTACATTACCACTGACAAGTTTTTGTTGATCTTGGAACGTTGTAGAAATGGAATCCAACAGTATACTCTTATGCATCTGGCTTTCATCCATGCTCTTGAATGCATCAGCTATTGTTCTTTCCCATGGCTATGTGGAAGTCCATTGTGTAAATACACCACATATTTTTTTACTTTGCTATTGATGGATATTTGGGTTGCTTTTCCGTCTTTGGCCATTTTGAATAAAACAGCTATGATTGTTCCTCCACATGTGTTTTGGTACACATATATATATTTTTTCCTTGGGAATGTGCCTTGAAGTAGAATTGCTTTAGTACATACAGCCAAACAATTTTGGATCAATTACATTTCCACTTCCACCTGCAAAATGTGAGTGATCCAATTGTTTTACAGCTTTACTAGCACATAGAAACTGCTATCATAACCTGAATGCTATACATAGGAGGAAGGAAAAGATGTGAAATAAGCACAAAAGAGAGAAGAAAACAGAATTTACTTGGAAAGTATAGTAGGATTGATGATATCTGTAAATGTCCATTTGAAATCTATTGATACTAGTTTTAAAGGAAAATGAGTAGTCCTGAGTGGTAGTGTGGTTCACTCCATAAAAATTTATCTACTTGAGTGCTAGTGTTGCTCATTGAATTCAACCAACATGTTTCAGGAAAAGCAAATTGAACACACTGGAGGCCTTTGAAGTTTGTTTTTGTAGCTAGGAGGTTTGTATATGGTGACAACAAGGACAAGTGATGCATGCTTGAAAAAGTGGGAGTTGCTATCTTTTGGGGTACTGTATATTTCTTGCTTAAAAACTTCAATATCTTCTCTGTATCTTCTTAAAGTTTTTAATACATCTTTTACAGATTGTGCAAACCTATGGTATTGATAAGAAAATACTTTAAAGAATCATGGCAGATGAAATTGCAGTAATACATCATTGTTTACCCATTAGTATCTCCCATTTTGCTTGTACGTTGCTTGTGCTTTTTACTTGTAAAGCCCATTGTTTGATATTCTCTATAGAGCTTCACATCATTTACAGTTTATATATCCTATAGTACATCCATTATGTTCTCTTTCAAAGCTTTTAGAAACATAAAAGGAGACAGCATTGCTATCACAAATCTCTGATTCCAGTTCTCCACATGTTTTTTAAATCTGTTCTATAATCCTGCCATTTGGAAGGTTTCTTTGAGAATTCCATCCAGAGGTGCCATTGCCTTTTCATATTTTACCCACTAAGGAGACTTAGCCAAGAAATGTCTTTCAGGGGCAAAAAAAATCACCAAGATAGTCTTAATTAATTTTTTACCAATATAATTATTGATAAAGGTATTTCAATTTTACAGAAAGTCAGCTATTATTTCTTCATCATCATCTTGGGTTTTTATAGTCTTTTGCAAACAAAATTATCTCTACATGTGGATGTGTTTATAATTATGCACTGAAAAAAGTTTCATGAGTCTTTTGACTGGGCCATCCCTTTAATAACATAATTTTGTTTCATGATACAGAATTCTTGACCAAGAACTTTGACTGGAGTAACTTAAATGTATTATATTATGCTTTTTCTCATTTATATATAGAACTCATTTTTAAATTTTGACTACATAGTAAGTTGAATTTTTCCAATGCTATTTCAAAAATTTCTATAAAATACCTTTCTGTAGCTCATGACAACTTAAAATGTAGAATAGTTCCTCATATTAGAACAGACCTATCCATTGTATTGGGAGGTATTATGATTTTTAGTGGTTTTAGTGACATTTGTGCAAAAACACCCTGTGCTTCAATCTGTGTATGCCACATGATTTTGAATGTAGTTGGAATAACCTTGTAGGTGAAACATATCAGCTCAATAGTAAGTTAGTTTTTCTTTGTTGCTGTTGCTCTGATGCTAAGTCATGTCTAACTCTTCAGTTAGACATGGAATAAAGCCTGGCAGGCTCCTCTGTCTATGGGGTTTCCCAGGCAAGAATACTGAATTGGGTTGCCATTTCCTTCTCCAGAGGATATTTCTGACTCAGGGACTGAACCAGTGTCTCCTGCATTGGCAGGTGGGCTCCTTACCACTGAGCCATCTGGGAAGCCCAATGGGAGCAGTTCAGTTCAGTTCAGTCGCTCAGTCGTGTCCGACTCTGTGCAACCCCATGAATCGCAGCATGCCAGGCTTCCCTGTCCATCACCAACTCCTGGAGTTTACTCAAACTNTGAGAAACCTATATGCAGGTCAGGAAGCAACAGTTAGAACTGGACATGGAACAACAGACTGGTTCCAAATAGGAAAAGGAGTATGTCAAGGCTATATATTGTCACCCTGCTTATTTAACTTATATGCAGAGTACATCATGAAAAACACTGGGCTGGAAAAAGCACAAGCTGGATTCAAGATTGCTGGGAGAAATATCAATAACCTCAGATATGCATATGGGAGTAGTTAGAGGTAGTCAAATCTGGAATATATTTCAGATATAGATCTGATGACATTGTCTCATGAACAATATATGGTAATATAAGAAAGACATCAAGAATGATAGCAAGATATTTTGACCTGAGGACTGAACTGGTTGCTAATTAAGATGGGAAAGACTATAAGATTAATTTATATGGTTTGGTACATATTAAGCTCAGGTTATTATCAGATAGTCAAATGAAGATATCAAGCAGGCAGTTGGAAATATAGGATTCAGACATATTATTGGTAACATGGCCAAGTCTTTACATACAACTTGAGTACAAAGGTTAGTGATGTAGATATCAAGTTACTTTATAGTAACATTGCAGTTAATTATACTTTTCCTATTCTTAGTATACACATTCTAGAATCACAGTGGATCCTTATACTAACAGAATGTTTAGCCTTTTAACTTGTTTGACACATGATCCAAGCATCTAACTCAGGTAGGACATTCAGATATGTTACAAAAAACTGTTTTGAACCAGTTTCCTTAAAATTTTATCAAAGAAAATTTTATCTTCCTAATTGTATTTATGCTTAGTTGTCTCTGACTCTCTGCAGTCACATGGACTCATGGGGTCCCATGGAGCTCACCAAGCGTCTCTGTCCATAGGACATTTCAGGCAAAAATTCTGAAGTGGGTTGCCATTTCCTACTCCAGGGGATCTTGCCATCCCAGGAATAAAACCATGTCTCCTGCTTTGGCAGGAGGATTCTTTACCACTGAGACACCTGAGAAATCCATCTTCTTAATTAAGCGGTTTTAACTATTGGTTGAAATGGCACTTTCTATGTTGATAACTACTTTTGCAAATCTGAACTCTCTAAACACATTTTTTAAACCAATTAACACTCAGTAAATTGGTCCAAGTTACAGTTTCATGGTCAGTTCTCTTCATTTAGATTCCATGGTTGTTTTCCTATGTGCTTTTCCCCTTGGAAAAAAAGCCCATCCAATATTGTCTACATGTGTTGCTTTCCAACATGGTCACATTCTGTTAGGTGAAAAGTGGGAGGGCTTGGTCTTCTTTGAAATTCTCTGGCTAAAGCAATAGGATTTTCTCCTCCACTCTGTTCTTGGCCTGGAATCCTTAGTGATGCAGCTTCATCCTGGGGAAAATGCACTCAATGGCTCTGTGGTACTCTCTGAGCTCTGCTTAAGAAGAATATCCACAAAGATGGTGACTGATTTTTATTTTAGTTTGCCCTGTTGTCTCACTGATCCTGTTCCTGATGCCAATTGTCTTGCTGTTCACGCTGTTTGCTGAACCTAGGGTAGGCAAGGCATGAGCCAAGAGGCTCGAAGGAGACTTGAGGAGCCATAGGAACGACAGACATGCTTATTCCCTCTGGCTGGCACAGCCTCTCTCTCCTGCCTGATGCAGCGCCGGTAGCAGCAGCCACAACATAGCCATAATGGAGCCATAACATAACCCCACAAAGCATAGCCATGATGCTGCTCCAACGTAGCTCCAATGCAGCACCAGCTCGGACTTTCATGGTGAAGCTCAAACAGGCATAAAGCACAAAGTACTCTGTGACCAAGTGAGTACCTCACGATACACACATGCATCATGTGTGTATACAAGTGATCTCAGCTGTCACACAACCATGCAGGGTCATTGTTTACAGAACATGGGGTGAGAGGGCATGAGACGGTGGGGCAAGAGAGGCTGACGGGAACGATTTTGTTAATTTCCCCATACCTGCCATTCATCCAGCCATCTTCATGAACTCATTTGCCAGGATGGAACTTCTTCTGAACTCTGCTGTGTACCTTTCACTGTCTCCTCTTCAGAAGTACAACTGCCAGTAGTCCTTCCTCCAAGGAAATCAAAATATGTTCATATTACTACAGTATCATTTGCTACTTCTGTTGAGAACATTTACAGTAGCTATTTTTAGAAAGGACAAATGTTGTTTAGATTTCAAAATTCCAATTACAAGGAGAGGCATTTTTCAACTCCCTCCTAATTTTAAAACCATAGACTTTATCTTATTCTCTTACTACATTGAGAGAACTTGTCTAGCAATAAAGATATTATTGTTATTCGATGCTGTAGAAAGTATTGTTCTTCAATGCTGTAGCTTTTTTTATGTAAAACTACCAATTTGATAGTTTTTTAAATGTTTTTTGGAAAGAAATCTTAGATGGCAAGTTTGAAACAGAATCCCTTCTCAGCATTTGCATTGTCTACCTTATGATTGGCTATCAGAGGCAGAAACTAATTCTGACTTGCTTATATGAAAATAAAGATTATTAAATAGATAGGAAGGGCCACAGATTTAATGGGAATCTGGGAACCATGCCGGACACTATAAGAGGTGCTTAGAACCAAAAAACTAGAAACAAAATGATTATCTTTTAACAGAAAGAGTAAAGCTAGATCTTCTGAGGCTCTTTCTTCTTCTGAAGAAAGATTTCTTCTTCTTTCTCATTTTGTATGCCATTCACTCAAGAGAGAAAGGCCCCAGTAGGGGCATCTGATCAGCTTTTGCAAAGTGACACACATTTGTGTTGCTTGCCAGAGTAGAGCAAAAGTGCTTGCCTTTCTGGTACTGGGATTAGGAAACAGATCGTTGCCCTTCAGTAAGGTGACACATGCTATAGGGAACTCCTGCCAAATAGAAAAGAAGGATGAAAGCTCATCAATCAAAAGATGGTCCCAAACTTACAGATGAGCTCTTCCCCCTTAAAAAATTAAACCTATACATATATACACATATAAATGCACATATATGTATACAATGTATTACACATTTTAGAAGAAATAACATTCCTCGGAAAAAAAGAGATCAATAAGTACATTTTGCAAGACTCTTTCCCTCCTTTTCCCCTTCTGAGCCATAATATTTTAATCTAGAGAAAGTGTATTCTCACTGCTGATTTCCTCAACTGTATGCAACACATTAGTGTGTTAACAATGTGAATAAAATACATATAAATATTTCCCAGTGATATAGTCCTCTATAATCCATGGGGAAAAAATGTACAATTGTCCCATTATTTCACTTTCCAAATGACAAGAGTGAGGAGAAATTCCAAGTTGCTTATTTTAATAAGGAGGAGACACGTGATGCTGTCACAGGTGCTACGTGACCCTGTTGCCCCGAGAAGGCTCCCTGACATGCTTCCATCAACCCTCCCTTCAGCAGGGGTCTGCACATTCTGAGGAGACTCTGCAGACAGGGCTAACCTTCCCCAGCTGTGCCCCGGTCTCCCCCTCCTTTCACTCACTACCTTGCCAGGAAGAGGCTGGAGCGTTCCGGCAGCTCCAGCCACAGGGGGTCTGGCTAATTAGATTTCTACTCTAAATGGATTTTTCAAATAATACAGTTTAAAGTTCTGACTTTTGAAAAAGTGCAATTCTTGTGCTAATGCTACATCTCATATGGGAGCCAGAATCTTTAGTCTGGAAGTTTGTGATTAGAGATGAGGCAAAGTAGAACACTACATGATATCAGATTGTTAACCAGGAGATAGACAGCTAGGCAGATAGATGAACAGATAATCACTTGAAGATAATCATACTCCATGCTTGTAAAATGTCTTGGAGGAAAAATGGTGCCTCCATTTTCTTGTCCTTATATTTAACTAAAATACACATTTTAGAAAACAATATATAGCTATATTTATGATTTCAGAGTCCTATCTGAAGCTCTGTTACTTACCAGGTAAAGAGTAACATAAATGGACTGAATTTGGATTACAACAGTACACAGTTGAGAAAATAATTCTCTGTTAAGTTTGCTCCTGTGTGTAGGGCCACTGTTAAATTCATTCTTTCTATGACAATGACTCACAGTTTTTAACAAGAAACAATCCATTTACAAACTTTTAGATATTTTTCCTTTGGACTTTCTTGATATTTATATTTTCTATTAAAATACAAAAGAATAAATTTCAGCCCATTCCTAATATGGAAAGGGTGACCCTTCTAAAATATTTTTTGGCATATTTAAGTTGCGGTGCAACAATACAACATTTTCTAGTGTTTAGAGATGATGTATGGAAGAAAAATATTAGAGAGCAGAGTTGGCTTAAATCCTTCACAGATGTAGGCGGCACAACTTTAAAACTAAAGTAGAAAACAAATACATCCAATGTGATCTAGGTATATCTCAGCTGTAATCGAAGCCTGTCTTTTCTTTCCCTTTGGAAACTCTGAGTCTTCCCAGAAGTAGATTAAAAGACAGGCCACCTGCTTCTCATTTGCGAGTTGACAGGTCATCAAACATTAGTGGTTCTTGCTTAGTTCTTAACATTCTTTTCCCTGTTCTGATTTTATTTTCATTCTCTGCATTTCACTGTGAATTAATTTTCATTCCAAATAGCCAAACTCATTCTTTCTTTATGAACCAGCTTGTCCCTTACCTTCCTACCATCATCTTTTCCTTGTTTTGTTGAGTCATTTCTTTATTCCTCCTCTTTAGTGAGTCACTTACACTCAGAAAATCCCCACTGAGCCACCCTGACAAACACAGAGTCACTTTATAGCAACTACTCTTAACTACCAAGAGGAAAAATAAAATTTAAAGCAAACCTTGTTCTTTGTAAATGGAGGTGTGAAAGGAAAACTGCGCCTTTGTTTTCATAGCCACATTCTCTCGGCTTTTCTTTTTCCAGTTTAGGAGTAGAATGTGAGTGTATCTGACACAGAAGCATATTTTATATCCCCAACCTGAGGAAGAATAGCAGGAAATAGTTTTAACCCAGTGATAGAATGACCAACTTTTGCCTATTGTGGTAGTACATGGTGAAAATATTCACATTGCCGAGAAAAGAACCCTTTCTAGAGGATTTTTGCAAATCAAATATATTTCATCCTCACTAATGCCTTTTCCCTCTCCCTATTAAGTTTCTAAAACTTCATTAAAATGATTAAACTAAGGTTGGGAAGAATCCACTTTCTCTAGATATTTCAAAGAGGAGCTATTTTTCCTGTTTATTTTTTTAAATTGCTGAACATTTTTTCCCTTTTTTCCTCCTTTGCTTCACATCATTGAGTCCCAGAGAGGTTAAGTTACTTTGAGTACTTTTTGAAAACTGACAAATGAAAGTTAACCACAGTAGTGGATGTTTGTTCAGACTTAATTAAAGCAATAGAAATTTGATTTAAGGCTCTTTACCATTCTAGTTTGAGCTTGCTTCAGTTTGAGCTTGCTTCCAGCAGTACTGAAATGACTTCTTTATAACTAACAGTTTTTGCTCATTGATGTGGCTATGTGAGGCAGGGTCACTTCACGGCTTGGGTGAGCTGGGTGGGGGTTTCTGGGTGAACAGGACTGACTGTCATCTCCAGACCAAAAGACTTTGGCTTCTGCAGCCTCAACCACATCAGCACTTGCCTCGGGGATGAGGGAATGGACACTGAAGCCATTCTCCAGACTCTAGTGAAAGGGAGGTTGGTCCCCTTTACCAAAATTTATTGGGAAAAGAATTTCAGAGAAATTTGCACTCTGATTGCAGTGAACACAATGGGCCTCCATGGAGACAGCAAGAAATGTGTAAGGGACCCTTAGTTTAAAATGATGGTATGGTTGACAAAATAATGGTGTCCTTATGATGCCCATATCCTAACCCCTGTGAATATGTTAGGTTAAAGGTCAAAAATACATTAAGGTAGCAGATGGAATTCAGCAGTTGTTCATCATTAACTGATCTCAAAATGGATTATTTTGCATTTTTCCAAGTGGTCCCAATGTAATCACAAGGGCCCTTAAAAGTGGAAGAGGGATACAGAAGAGAAGGTCAAAGTGATACAGTATGTGAAGAACACGTGTTGTTTCAACATTCATGGAGATGACACAGGCAACAATTCCCCTGAAGAACTTCTGGGCCATTTTAACTTTCATCTCCACTTTATATCAGCTACAGTACCAAGAGAAAATTCATGAACTTAACCATCACCTGTAAATGGTCCACCTTCAAAACCATAAATATAACTTACCGCTCTTTGACCACGTTCTTCCATTCTTAAGTCTCACCCTAACTATCCTAATATGCCCAATTTTCAAACTAAGAGAACTGCCTACTCCCTTATGCTTTAGTTTTTCTCCTGAGCCTATCAGTCCTCCTCACTGCTAATCATCTCCTTCTTTCTCTCCCTCTCTTCCTGCCCCCTTCTTCTTGACACCAATAATCCCAACTCTGCTGCCTTTGACTCCTATGCACAGAGAGTAGAAAATCACTTGGCTTTACATGCCTCTCCTGCAAATCCTCATCTGTAATCCTGGAAGTAACCTTTTAATTATCCTTGGTTCATTAGTGATAATAGGCTTGCTTATGCTGCCATAGCAAATCCCCAAATCTCAATGGCTTAATACATCAGAGCTTATTTTTTGTTCCTGTTATACTCTGATAATACTTGATAGCCCTTCTTCAATTTATAGCTTTTCTATTGGAAACTCACAGCCTTTAAGATTTTCATAGCTAGAGGAAAGACTATGAAGCAGGTATAATCTAAACTGTCTTAGACTGAACAACACTCTGCTCACATGAGCCCTGCTAGATGTATGAATGTTCGGGAAATATAGTGGACAAAGTGGATATTTCCTGAACACTAAACGATGTCTGGCATAACATTAGCTCCAACTCTATTTTCCTAAATAAATGTTTTAACATTTTAATCACTCTCCTTAAGATCTTAAATCATTTTCTGTCTCCTCCTTCCCCACCTCCCTCACTTCCCTTACCATTTTCAATAGATTGCCCTTTTCCTTCTTTCATGAGAACTTTGGGTACTTTATGTTTGATTTCCTTGTATTTTTCAATCCTATCCATCCATCATCATTTCTCTTTCATTCTCATGCCAATGAATCTACCCTAACCCTTCCTCAGCAAGACCATGCTCCCTTAATTCCTTTCTATTCTATATCTTTAGGCAACCTCTTTTATCCTTGGATCTTTTCGTCAACCCATAAGCCTAGATTTTAAAAAAATCTATTCTAAATGCTTTTTCAATATCATTTGCTTTTGTTTTCTGTCCTCAAAGTATATCAGAGTTCTGGTTTATTACCTCTCATACACTCATGGTGCCATTGTAATCTAGCTTTTGCACTTACTAGCTTTTTGAAATTTCACCTTACAAGTCCTAAATTCAAAGGATATTTCTAGTCTTTATCCCACTTGACTCATCTACTGCATATGACTCTGCTAATCAGTATCTAGTTTTGAAAACTTTATTTCTTTTTAAAAAAGAACACAACCTTTTGAGTCTTTTCCTCTCTTTTCTTTTTTTCACTTAATGAATTTTTCTCCACCAGTCTTTTTCTTTTCAACACTGATATTCGTGGAGACTTCATTCTTGGCAGCTCTTCTTTTCATTTTGCACTCGCTATGGGAGAAATTGTTCAATTACATCTTTTCAGAGATCGGCTATATAAAAGAAATAACTCTAAAGTCCATGTCTCTAGCTAAGTTCACTTACACGACTTCAAGACCTTCTATCCAATTGCCTATTTTACCACTCCCACTGACTGTTCTAAAGATGCTTCAAAAAATAAAAATTAGAGAGTAAACTCATTTTCTCAGCACTGTCATTCAGTTGACACTTCTTCCTGAAGTCTATTTCAGTTGGCAATGACATATTCCTCCATGATAACAAAGTGACATTCTGGTCAACACCTTCCATAGTGCAGTTAGAAACCTTGACCTCCTCTCTCAATCTTCACAATGACCAGCCAGTGATGAGGATGGTCACTATCACTTAGCATGTATTTCCAAAGTCACTGTAACCATTCCTAGTCCCACTGCTATAGTTGAGATACTTTTCAACTTTCAACTGTATTATAGCAATAGGTTCCTCCATGATATTTCTCCTTTTAGTCCTATTTTTCCCAGTCTATCTTGCATATCCATAACCTAAGGTAATATCAGTCTACTGCTTAAAATTCTTGTTTGAGTTCTCACTACCTACAGGATAAATTCCAACTCCCTTAGAATAAAGACCTTTTCCATCTGACCCTGTCTTGACAGCCCATCTTCACCTCTTTACCCATTTTGTATGTTATGCTCTCACATTATTAAGCTGTTAGAAGACCAGGAGCACACCGTACTGTTTCTCCATATGCCTTAAATCATGATGTCGCCTTTGCCTAGAATGTTTCTTCTCCCCTCTTCTTTTGGCTGAATCTTCCTCTTCTCCCCATTTTTCACAACTGTGAACCAATAGGAGATATATACACATGCATATACACTAGGATTTATTTTAAGGGATTATTTCAACTGATTGTGGAAGTTGGCAAGTTGAAAATTGGCAGAACCAATGTTCTTGTTTTAGTCTAAAGTCTGGTGGGTTGCTGAGGTGCCAAGAAGAGTCAGTGTTTCCATTTGAAGAGTTGCCAGTGCTTTTGTGGCTCAGTGGTGGGTCAGCCTTTGTGATATAGAGGACTTCAACTGATTGACTGAGGCCCACCCACATTACAGTGAGCAATCTGCTTTTACTGCATCTACTGATTTTTAAATGTTAATCACATTCAAAATAGCCTTTCTAGTAAATCAGCTATACTTTAATAAAAGACCCAGCCTCCCAGAAACACCTAGAATAACATTTGACCAAATATCTGTTCACCCCATGGCCCTAATTATACTACCTAATACTATTCTAATGTATTTTGTGCCTGAACCGTTTTAAAGATGACCTTATCATACTTATGTGCAACTAAAATATATTTATATTAAAATTTAAAAATTTTTCTAGCCATCATGTTCTGTTAAAAATTTTCCTCTAGATTAAGATATTATTATGACTATTTCTATAAAATGGATGAAAATAGCGTAAATATGTTTTTCATAGATTGTTAAACATAAAATTGAAATTTTTACTAGGAATTCCTATTTTAATTACATAGATAGCTGCTTTCCCTTCAGATAGTTTCCAGGTATTTGGATGAATTGTACTTAATGCAAGACTGAGAATGGGTTCAGCATCAATTTTGTTCCTTTTGTTCATTTTTATAAATGAGAATGATAGCAAATCTTGTTGTGATATAGCAGTGTCACTTGACTCTGTCATATGCCAAAAATCACACAGTGATCTATGATTTACCAAAAAGAAAGCCATCTTTTGGTTGACAGCTTGATTAAGTCCTCTAAGTCTGAATCAAAGAGTCAGAAGCCACCCCAGTGTGATAACGTGACCTTTCTTAGATTGTGACAGGTAACACTGTATAAAATAACTGCACACATGTGCCCCCTTTCCTAGTGGTTTGTGAGCCTCATGAGCACAGGGAGAATGTGATATCTATCTTTGTTCCCACAGTGCTACATAATATCTGTCACATAGTAGGTGCAGCTTAAAATTAAATTTATACATTGTGGTTTGCTTTGTAGTAATTTTTATCATCTCTGAAGGTAAATAAATTTAATAATAGATTTCACATGAGGCATAAGTCAATTAGATAGCTGCCTATATATAAAAATACTGATAATTTTTTTTTAAGAAAATCCTCTCATTCAGAGATGGAAGCAGTAATTCCTGCATTATTTTACTAGGAGTATCATATTGAAGTACCACAGACTGGGTGGCTTAAATAACAGTCATTTATTTTCTCAGAATTCTGGAAACCAGAAGCAGGAGAGTAAAGTGTTGACAGGATTGATTTTTTTCTGAGACCTCTCTTTGGCTTGCAGATGACTGTCTCTTCCTGAGTGTTCACGTGGTCTTTCCTTCGTGCAAGTCTGCATCCTAATTGCATCTTCTTATAAGCAGGCTAGCCATACTGAATCAAGCCCCATCTTACTGATACCATTTTAAATTAATTACTACTTTAAATGCTTTATCCTCTGATACACACAGTCATCTCTGACTCTTTGAGATCCTGGAGACTATAGCTCACCAGATTCCTCTGTCCATGGAATTCTCCAGACAAGAATACTGAGGTGGGTAGCTATTCCCTTCTCCAGGGGATCTTCCCAAATGAGGGTTAGAACCAGGGTCTACCGCACTGCAGGCAGATTTTTTATTGTCTGGGCCACAAAGGAAGCCTTTAACTTCCTCTTCATAGGCTTTATCCCCAAATAGAGTCAAATCCTGAGTTACTAGGGGGTTAGAGCTTCAACTTATAAATTTGGAGGGGCCACAATTCAGCCCATAATAATGCCTAATTAATAAAATGTATGAATTTTACCTTAATTTTATCTTTGTTTTTACTTTTTGATTGAAATCTTATCCACCCCTCCCCCCCCATCCTCACTCAAACTACTGA